CCGCCAGAAAATCAAAAAGAAGAAGAGGAAGACGAGATACTGGCTGCGTTCGAAATCGCATACTCAATGAGTAGGTACTTAATTTCAATAAGTACTTACTTAACGAGTGCTAAAAGAGTACGTACTCTACAGCCAAATCTCGTTAAGTATGAATGAGATCTGGACTTCATCCGCCATGTTGACGTTATCATGTGACCTATGACTTCTTCTTCTTCTTCTTCTTCTGGTATTAATGGCGGTTGGCAGACCAACTTGAATGGTGCATTTCCGCCACCTACTGGATAGGAGTGTGGAGCACATAATGGTTGGGAAGTTGGAAAACAATAACACAAATGTCAATGGGGGAGGGGAGAGAGAAGGAGGGAAAAAAAACCCTATTTTAATACAACGGTATCTTAAATTCTATTAATCGGTCTTGTTTCTTTTAGGAAAATAATTAATTCATGAAATATTCTTGATTGCTTTGTGCCATTTCCTAACAGAACCTGTGGTGACAAGTTATTTATTCCCAAAGATCTTAAAGCTTGAATTAGTTGAAATCTTGCTCTTTCATATGCATCACACTCAATAAGTACGTGTTCTATTGTTTCAACATGACCACATTTATCACAATTTCCAGTTTCATGCTTCCCCATTCTATACAGACACTGATTTAACAAACAATGACCAATACGCATTCTTGACATTAAAACGTCATCTTTTCTATTACCAAACTTTCTTCTTTATAGACCTACCTTCTCTTGAATGCGAAAAATGTCCATGTGACCTATGACGTTACAAGCGCAACAACTTAAAAGATACGAGCGACAGGTTTAATTCATCTATCTGTAAATATTTGGATGTTGATGAAATTTGCTCATTTTGTGGTCTTGTTGAAGAAACAGCTGCCCTTTTATTGTGATTGTAGTACAACCAAAAAATATAAAGTTTTGGAGAAGGCTAATATTACACTTGAAAAATGTAAGTATTACTTACTTAAAAAATAAGATTACCCCAGAATGCATTGCTAGCCCACCCCAACACTTACAACAATGATGATAAATGCTGACCAATAATTAATTAATTTTATATATAATTTTAGTAAAACAAGCAAAATGTAATTTGTTTTGTCATATGCCATAGCTATGCATAACTACACACTAGACAAATGCAGCCAAGGTGAATGCATCTCAATTTTCAGTCAAGTAATGAATTAATGCGTAAATTAATGCAACAATTATATTTTAACAACAGGAAACATGAATAAATTTGTAAAATAATAAATAAAAGTAACCATGACAATAAATAAATACAAGTCAATGACATATGAAGCAAAGCTTTATTCAGTCTTACTCTAATAATCATGTATTTATCATCCTTCTCTTCACTCTCTGAGACGGAAGTCTCCAAACTCATCCTTTCTAATAATCCTACTTGTCCTCTTGATCCTATTCCATCTCATCGCCTTCAAGCCATTTCTCCTGCAGTTGTACCTGCACTCACTCACATCATTAACACATCCCTTCACACTGGTGTTTTTCCCTCAGCATTTAGACAGGCTCATATAACCCCACTACTTAAGAAACCCACCCTTAACCCACCTTTTTTTGGAGAACTACAGACCAGTTTACCTTCTTCCTTTCATTGCAAAAACACTTGAACAAGCTGTGTTCAACCAAGTCTCTGCCTTTCTCACACAGAACAACCTCCTGGACAGCAACCAATCTGAACAAGTTCTTTGAAAAACATCTATGACCTTTGAAACATGTCTATGTCACCTTTATGTCCCTGTTTTTCCTTATTTGGTCATGTTCCTGTGTTCATTAGTTCCCTTGCTCATTGTCTAATAATTAGTTAACCTGTATCACCTGTTCTGCCCTCATCTACACTCCTATTTTAGGCCCTGTCTACACGAACGCGTTTATTTTTTAAAACCGCTGCTTTTTCTACGTGGTTTGGCCGTTCGTCCACACGCAAACGCAGCACCAGGTTACTGACACATTTTTGAAAACGCCTGCCAGGGTGAAGATTTTCAAAAACTCCGGTTGCAGTAGTGGAACCTGTTCGTTGAGTGGTGTTCTTCTCGCCGAGAAGACCCCCGAAGATGCCCGATCGGAGTTGTGCTGTCCTCTTTGCAGCAAAGGGTTGGAGCGAAGGCTGTCTCCCTCCACCCTTAAAGTTTATGTTGTGCAAACGCTGCTAACCACGACCCCGTAGAAGGAGGTCGTGGGGGGAAGCATGACCTGGTCGTCAGGTTCCTTAAGGGGGCGAGAAGGTTAAATCCTCCACGGCCCCCCTCTATTCCCTCGGGGGACCTGACTCTGGTGCTCACGGCACTACAGCAGGGCCCATTTGAGCCTTTGATCAGCAGCAGCTGGATGCAATAATCGCATGCCAATGTGCATTGGCTCGTTTAGTTTACACTCGAAGTAGATTGGTCCCTCTAAGCGAGATCCCAATTTCGTCGGTCCTCCGACGTGACGTCTCCGTTCCCTCCTTCAGGGAACGAGGGGTACATACGTAACCGAGACGTTTCCCCCATTAAGTTGTCGGTTATTGCATGTATTGATGTTTGTTACGCCTGTGAGCAAATTCCTTCTTTGAGTTCCCTATTAAATTCTAAAAGTGGATTATTCGTCTCATCTTCGTCAGGCTACAGTCTAGTCTTCATGCTCTATCTTGACTATGGCTTCACTAATAATAAGCATACATTTGCATAAAGCATCCATATTTGTCCATGCCCATGTTGATTAGAGTATTAAAAACTTTAAAAAAATATTAATTTAAGGTACATTTAGAACAGATAAAAATGTGTGATTAAGTTGCAATTAATCACGAGTTAACTCATGACAATCATGCGATTAATCACGATTAAACATTTTAATCGATTGACAGCCCTACTGCAAATATATGCTGTATACGGTTGAGCAATTGAAAGGTTCTTCAGAGTTGTTTCTTTCAAATGAATCTGGATAACCAGTTTAAAAAGAGTTCAATCAGTGTTTCCGAATATCACACAATGTTTTTTTTTTTTACTGGAAACTCACTAACAGAAGATGCTGTTAGTGTCTTTGGATCTAAGTTATTTGGATGCTTTTTTGTCTTTAACATCACAAAATTAAGTCATGTGCGATTAGGGGTGTTCGATATGACTATTTTTGATCTTGGACGATTAAAATGTCTCCACGATCCGCATTTGAAAAAATATCATAGTATCATGCTACAGCACACCGGCCATCGAAATATATGGTACAATGCGACATACATTCACATCAAATGTTATCTCAGCAGTAGAGTTACACTCACTAGACACTGCATTTATTCGCAGTCAAAAAAGTACATTATTTGCATTTGCAATATTTGTATATTTGCTGTAAAGCCTTGCCAGTTAAACATTTCATTCACATGCTGTTCTGATGTGCTCTTTTTCTGAGCGTGTACACCTGAAGTGCACACTCTAGTACTAAGTTATGTTTTGTGTCTGATTGAGCTAATACTGTCAAAAACACACAAGGATTACATATAAAGACAGTTGGTTGTCTAAAGAGAAAGTAAACAGCTGAGAGAAAAACGGATGAATGCCTGTACAGTATATTAGATGCATGCAGCTCTTAAATCGAAAGTACTAAACATTGTCATTAAAGGGACAGTTCACCCAAAAATTACATTTCTGTCATTATTTACTCACTCACATGGTAATATTTGGTAATGTTACCTTGCAAGGCTTTGTTTTTAAAATATGGAAATTAGTTTGGCTGTACTGCTCAGACAACTTGAAAAATAGTAAAACCAACATGACAAAGAATCGTGATAAAATTGTGAATCGTGATATTATATTTTTGCCATATCGCCCAACTCATGTGCAATTTTCATTTATCATAAGGCTCCCGCCATCCTGGAAAATGGTTCATATTTGAATTATTTAGCCTGGCCCATGTCAAAAAAAACTGTTCTCATGTCTCTGTATTGTAAGCCTCCATAGGGATTGCATTTGGCTTGGGTCCTTCTTTCATTGTAAATCCTTGGGATTTTTAAAAATCTTTTGTTATCATCCACAAAGCAGATTCTTGTCTTTAGCAAGCACCATTAACTATAAAAACCAACAGCTGCAATACATATTAGGACAATGCTGGACATCTCTTATATATGTTTTATTATTATTGAGCCAGAGACAAACCAAGCAAGTTAGTTTCCATATATGAGATTAGGTGGGAATGGAGGTCATTTTAGTGTTCCCAATGTCAGTGTCTGCAGATCTTCTTATCATGGATAATGTTTCCTTTCTGCACCACCGATCCCAAAGGCAAATGTTTGCCAGCTGGTTTGGATGGTATTCAAGATTTGCTTTACTAGATTTGATTTGCATTTTTGTCCTTGGGAAAACCGTCAGTTGGCTCTGTAAAACACAGAGAACCTGAGAGAAAGTCAGAAGGAGAAAGGTTTTTAAGTTTTTAATCAGAATCCTAAATATATTGTGATCCTGATTTTTGTTATACTTGGATTTTCTCTAATGTAGTATGAATAATTTTGTTTGTTTGAACATTTCTGTGTAATATTACTGTACATTAAAAGTGTAAGCATACAGCAGGTTTCACATTTCGATTCTTGTTTGAAAAGCAAACACCATGAACATTTGATACACATTGGAAGTGTTCGATTTCATCTAAGCTTGGTTAATCAGTAATGGTTTTGAAGGATTACAGTAGAACTAATTAAAACAAATTGTGTTTGTATGTTGTTCAGATGAAAGCCAAATCTGGGACCACTAGATCAACTGTGGAGCATGTTAAAAATTATTTCATGCCATATTTCTCTGCCCACAGTTTCTTTCTTAGAAATATTCTGTAGTTTATTTGATTGGTTAAATGCACCTGTTTTGTTTGCTCTGTCTGTAAAGGTGTGCTGTGATTGGTCACACCATCACACTCATTTGTCATTGGCTGTATGTCAGTTTAAGTAAGAGAGAGTCAGTGTCATCATGCACAGTTCTGTCCTCAACTTCAACTGATCACTGAAAAATCACAGAAACTCTTCAGTGGAAGAAAATGAAGACGACACTCGCTCTGCTCCTAATCATGGAGCTCTACTGTCTCTCCTCCGGTCTCAAACAACATTTCTTCGTGAATGAGCAGAAGAAATGGTTTTGTGCGCAAAAGTACTGCAAAACTTATTTTCATGTCCTCTCCACCTTCATCAATGCGAGTGAGGAACAGCGATTTTTAGCTAATGCATCTGGTCAAACTTCTGATGCCTGGGTTGGACTCCACAAAAAGCCTGAAACAGGAGTCTGGAAGTGGGAGGAGTCAGGAGGTATAGATGCCAAACAAATTAGCTGGGATACTGCATTTAATCAACCAAATAACCTTAGCAATAAAAACTGTGGCTTTCTATACAAAACCAATAATAAATTGCATTATGAAAAATGCAATTTCACTAAACCCTTCTTCTGCATGACAAACTTTGTTCTGGTGCATCAGAAAGAGACCTGGGAAGGAGCTCTGGAATACTCCAGGACTCATTATAATAATCTGGCAAGTCTGAGCACAGCGGACAAGATGAATTCTGCTTTACTGGAAATCACACAGGCTGAAACAGTGTATGTGTGGACTGGTCTGCATTATCTAGCAGGGGACTGGTTATGGGTCACTGGAGATGATCTTGACTACACAGCCTGGTATCAGAACGAACAGCCCCAGTGTCCTGCCAGAGACCTTCGTTGTGGAGCCCTGGACAAACAAACAAATCTTTGGACACACAGAAACTGTGAGGAGAAGCTCAGCTTCTTTTGTCTGTAGATGGTATGTCACTTGAACAGCTTTTTCAGGATCCCAGATTTTAACTTTAGAAAGATATAATGCCATTACAATATTTGGGCCAGCTGACATCTTTTTACTGTGATTCTCATATGTTATTGCAACCTTTAATAACAACAGTTAAACATTTTCATTATTAATAAACATCAGCTTTATTGCTAATCTTCTATGTAATCCATTTTTTTTCTCCCATTACTTTAGTGGTAGTTTATAGGAGCTGGATAGGGGCTACATATATTTTACTTATTTATGTCAAATTATGTTAAACTGATCATTTAAATGCTATTGTTGTAACTCCTGGATGCATGAAATTTTATTTAATTATATATATATATATATATATATATATATTAGAATAATTATTCTTATTCTTATTATTGCTGTTGTTACTTCTGAATTAAATTTAATTATGTATCTTTTTCTCTTATGTTGCACAGTGATGTTTTTGAGTATACCTGTCCACTGTACACCATGTATTTGGGTTGTAATGCAATGTAAAGTAAGTCAATGGCCATTACTGGTGTCATTTTAAGTAGTGTCACTTGTGAAAATCTTTACAAGACCTTTGGATATTTGTAGAGAGAATTTTAACTCCATTAATGAAAGAAATTGGAAAATGATTATGTAAGTGGACATGGAAATTAAATATAAATTGCAAGAAATGTTGGGATTCAATTTCGTTAATATATGGTTAATTAAGCAAATTTGTGGCACTGTTTATTTTTTATTTTATTCTATTCTTTTTTTAAAGGTTCCATATTGTCAAAACTGAAATTTCCTGGCTTTTTTCATTATAACTGAGGTCTAGGTGCTATGTAACTACCAAGTTTCAAAACAGTCAATCCACAGTCAAATGCACACAGCCTGCATAAAGTAGCTGACTATAAGCTCCAGCTATGTCGATATTTCACCCCCGCCCGGAGCTGTGGAACTTATGGGTGTGGCCCCTGAGGGGGCACAACTAGTAGCTTCTGGTCTCTCAACTGCACGCCCCTCTCGGTGGCCAGTCAGTGGGGAAACACCCCGTTTACACGTTTCCTCTGCGGTGCGCTGAGGCTGAGGCCTCTCGTACGATCTCGCGTCCCCTATTTAGACTATAAGTCTATGCTAATTCACAAATTACCTCAAACACCATACACGGCGTTTGATCCTTTAGACTGGCAGGTTTGAGAGCAGGAAAATACAGTACAGAATAAAGAAACCAAATACTACATCGCCAATCTGGAATCATTTCCAGTCATGTCACCCATTCGCATTTGTACAAGTTTGTGCATTTTGTCGGCTGGTCAGGTTTGTATTTACTGCTTTCGGTGTTTGATGAATTACCATTCTGAAACATCCTGTTGTACGCGCGTTTGAGGAGGTGGTTGGTTGTCTCCTGTCATCGGTGATTCAGGGTCTGAGTTCGGCTCAAACATGTAAGGCCGGACAACATTTCCCGAAAGAGGAGCTGTAAAAATATATTGAGATGGTTTTTGGTACTTATACCGCAAATATATATTCTTAAGGACATCAAGACTTAAAATAAAACTCCAGAAAGGTGTAAAATATGTGACCTTTAAGGTTCTTAATTCAGCAAACAATACTTTGAGAGGAACTAGTGTACTCTGGACAGTTTTTACAGTTTATCAATGCGTTTTGATGACCAAATGTACCTTGATATGATTGATATAATTAAAGTTCAACACAACACAATATTTATCATCATCAAAATATATAAAACCTTCCACCTTTCTTAATTCATAACATAACATTCTCCTCTAGTTTTTTTTTTTTTTTTTAGTCAGGGAATGTTTTATCTCTTTAATGCACATGCCAGCTAAGTTTAAATCATTGTGGCTGACTGATAGGGGAGTAGGTAATTTTTATTTTATTTTTTTACTGCTGTTCGAAATTCAGCCTCATCTGTTTACAGTAGTGTTTGCAGTACAAAGAAGAAGAAAAAAGATGTTACAAGTACAACCTAACACAAAGGATACTTCACACTGCAGGCAAATGTGGCCCAAATCTGATTTTTTTGCTCACATGTGACTCAGATCTGTTTTTCTCATCACAGTGTAAACAGCACAAACCACATGGAATCTGATCTTTTCAATTCTGATTTGTGCCACTTCCATATGTAGTACTAAATCCGATACAGCCCTGCAGAAAAAAACAAACAATAGACACCATCACAGAATTTGTAGTGGTTTTACTGGTTATAAGGGGAATTGTACTGGTTTTATTGGTGGCTTGTTAAAACCACTAAATCTTAATGGAATATATCGCAAAACACACTACAGAAAAGCATTTTTTAATGGTTAAAAGTTGATGGTTTGTAATGTTTGTAATGGTATTTGGAGTGGAAACTGGAAACCATTAGAATTTCTGTGATGGTTTCTATAGTTTTTTTTAAGCAGGGAGGTCAGATGTTTTGCAATGTGACGAGACTATAATTATATAACTATAAGTAAACTACACTGCTCAAAAAAATTAAAGGAACACTTTTTAATCAGAGCATAGCATCAAGTCAATTAAACTCCTGGGATATTGATCTGGTCAGTTAAGTAGCAGCGGGGGTTGTTAATCAGTTATTAAGCATTAAGCAGTTGTTAAGCATTTGCCATTGAACACCAGAATTGGCAGGTCCGCCACTGGCGCCCTGTGCTTTTCACAGATGAGAGCAGGTTCACCCTGAGCACATGATAAAATGATTATTGCGGCCTATTCCGCCCCCTTTCCAGCAGTGCGCTTTCGTTTCTCCATAAAGCCCAATTTCATGTGCAAATCAGTAAAATCATGTAACGTGACTTTTTCAAAATGGGATGTGCTTGATTTATTGAAGTGTAATAGATGTAAAGTCAACTTTTAGCTCAAGTTGCGTGCCTAAAGGTCAAATACACACAAAAATCAAAATGCGGCGCTTAGTGATCATTCATGTAAACCTTCGTCAGTCATGTAATAATGAGCATAAACAGTTGAGTTGAGAATGAAAATACGCGTGTAACGGTAAATTGGATCCGTGCGGCTCTTAAAGTGACAGCGGGCTAATATTCCTGCTGCCGACTGTGGGCTTAATATTAATCAAACAACAAAAGACAAATTCAAAATCACACACTGCTCTTGAGTGAAGGACTTTTGTAACTTTAATAAGAAACAAATAAGTTTTAATTCTAACTCAGACTATGCTGTTTTATTTTACATTTGATTATTCATTTCTGTTAACTGAATACTTGAGACTTGCATAAAAAAAAAACTTTTAAGCACAGTTTGTTTAATTTGTATCTTTTTATTCTATTGCATTTGTCCTTTATGTGAAGGAATTGATACCATTGAATGGCCCCCACGCTCAGCTGACCTAAATCCAATAGAACATCTCTGGGACATTATGTTTCGGTCCATCCGATGCCACCAGGTTGCACCTCAGACGGTCCAGGAGCTCAGTGATGCCCTGTTCCAGATCTGGGAGGAAATACCCCAGGACACCATCCATTGTCAGGCATGCATACAAGCACGTGGGGGCCATACAAACTACTGAGTACCATTGGGAGTTGCTTCAATTAAATTTCAGCAAAATGGACTTGCCTGCGGCATCATTTTTTCACTTTAATTTTCGGGGTGTCTTTGAATTCAGCCCTAAATTGATCATTTTCATTTCCATCAAACGATGTGCCATCCTTTTGTTCCTAACACATTATCCAGTCCATATCAGTATAGATATCCAGCATATTTTCCCCCATTGAGATCTGGGGTGTTATTCATACCATCCAACCATGACTCAAGGAGTCTTGTTTATGAATAGGTCACACAGTCTATTTGGCTTTGCAAAGTGGGTCTTTATATTGTTTGAAATTCACCACTGGCTGTATACACTTTGTAAAAGCATTATTGTTATTTGAGCAGCAGGACATGATGTCACACTTTAAAGTGGTTTATGATACTAGAATTGCCAAACACCATTTTTGGGAAAGCTATACTATTCAGTCTAGTTGATCATATCTGAACTAATTCCAGACCGTCAAGATGGTGCAGAGATAATGGAGATTTGTCATCTAAATTCTATTCTGATTTTCTACACTGTTCAACTTTTGTGGACAATGGGGAATGCAAAGTAGGTTGAGCAGTAACTACAGACTTAGTTTCAGGTTGATTTGGTTGTTCTAAAATGTAAGTTTGCATACTACAAAACAGCCAACATCTAAATGGACTTTCGTTATGCCTTTGGTGTTGTTCATGGCTTCCAAAAAGTTTTCTCTTTACTGCTCATTTGAATGTTGAAATGCCGCACTCACAGATATAGTCAAAATGCAAAGTCTGTGGATAATATATTCTGAACCTTGCCTTCTTTTGTGGTCACCCAGATACACACTGTGGGTTGGACAGTTAGTTTTTTTTTTTTGCATGTTAATGTTTAAACAATATGGGAAAGGGTTTTTAGAAAAGAAATAAGATTTGTGATGTCAAACATAATTTGGCAATCCCATTCTATTCAGTTGGGAAAAACCTGCACCCTCAGAACTTGTGAATTGCAATTTCTTTTTATGACTGTTTCTAAATGCAGTTGAAGATATTTTCACCATCAAAAGTCACTGGTTTCTTCATGCCTAAATACTATATTTAGACATAATTTCCAGATGGGGAATCTCATATCCTGCTGATTCCAGTCAGGGCCAGGTGAAATGCTATAGGATTGAGTCATGGGGAAAAACCTTGTCTTTTAGTGACTTGGGACCAATCCTATGGATGAAGATATGGTGGGTGCTGGGTGGGAGGCTAAGATAATTAGCTTTAGCTGCCGTTAGAAGTCACGGTTTCTATAGAAACAGTCAGCGTTCTGAGACGTGCTCTTAGGACTGTTCTAGCCTGAAAAATAAGTTTTTTATAATGCTATTTCAGCAAAAGAAACAACATTGATGACAGATTTCTTTGGTGATTTCAAATATGAAATTTAATCGTAAGCTTAGTGAACAGTTTTGGAGAATTTGATGTTTCCCCATTCAAAGAGATAGGAGCTGCACTTGCATGCCTGAGAGGCGTTTCAAAGATGGCTGCCAAGTGACATGACTTGCCTTAAAGGAGACATATTATGCCCCTTTTTACAATATGTAATATAAGTCTCAGGTGCCCCAGAATGTGTCTGTGAAGTTTCAGCTCAAAATACCCCACAGATGATTTATTATATAATTCTGGAAATGCCTATTTTGAGTGGAAGCAGAAACAGGCTGTTTTCATGCTTGTCTCTTTAAATTCAAATGAGCTGCTGCTCCCCGCCCCCTTTTCCAGAATAGAGCTGCGCCTTTACAGCTCGTACCTGCTAAAAAAATCTGTTTTGGTTCTGATTAACATGTTTATCATGCTGAAATTATGTGTTTTAAACCATATTAGTTTAAACTTCTAATATATAGTTTTCTGAGTGCACACATCCGAAGCACACGGACAGAAAGTGGCTGTCACATGTTGTCACTTGTGAAATGTTTCGGACTTGTTTCGGACACTACTAAAATGGCTGCCCCCTCAAATAGTGCCCTATTTAACCTGTTACAGCTCCAGTGTGCCGCCCGCGGTACACTGCATACTTTGAGGGTTAACTTCGTGAAACACACACAAAAAAAAGGTAAACGTGTCATATATCTTTGGAAAGCTGAGATTCTTGTGATTCGAATGACGCAAACCATTTTAAACATCATCTTATACAATCAACACAGCAGGTACAATCAGTGTCTTTGTCAGACCAACAACAACCAAATAAACAATAACAAAACTGAAGGAACTCACCTATGAAGCCTCTTGTTAGTCCACTAGTTCATTACATTCCAACAAAAATGGTGTAGTTACACTGTAAAGGGTCCAGACTATCCAATTCAGTGAAATATTTAGTCCATAACACATTTATATGTTGATAATTAGTTGATTAGCCGACAGAGCGCTCAAATCCTTGGCGCATTCTGAAGTATAGCTTGTTTTTGCATGTAAACAAAACCGGATCATTGAAGTCAAAATGGCCGCTGACCTCTGCCCTTTTGATTGACACCTTATTTGAACCAATAGCTGAATCTATGAGGTGTTTACAGGCAGCGATAGCCAACTAGCATCCAGGATGAAGGATGAGGCAGCCTCTCTTTGATCGACAGTAGACCGATCCAATTGCATCAGAGTTTGCAAATGACTGTCGTTTCTGATAGCCAATGAATTTCTGAACAGAATAATATGTGACTTTAGTGGGCAAGTTTAACATACCGTGCGCAGAAGTCCGTGCGCAAAGGATTAGAGTGACTGGTGCGTCCGTGCGTAATGAGCGCTCTATGAGAGATAACGGGGAAAAGGTGGTTACAGGTAAAAAACTATCAAAGAGAACGCGGAAAAACAACCCGCTGATTACGTTGTTTACGTTCAGTAGATACTCTCCAACGACATGAGGGTGAGTAATTAATGACAGAATTTTCATTTTTGGGTGGACTAACCCTTTAATTTAGAACGGTAATTAAAGGCTCTAAGCCACACCAGGGGTAGGCGTAGGGGTTGGGGTATAAAATAGAATTGGGATTGGGCCTTAGTATTCGCGTGATGGTGACCTCTGGTGACTATCGGGGGGAACCACAGAGGCCTGCTTTGTGAAAGGTGATTAATCAATCAGAAAAGAAATAACATAACTCAGGACATGAAAGTATTATCAGGAGAAATATTAGTGCAGTCTTACTACAATGCTTCAATAACTTCAAGGCGATAACTAGAACAGTTCAGTATTAAACATAAGAGCTCAATCTAACTTAATCCTTCACAGGCCCTGGGAATATCCAGGGAATTTCTTTCAAAATCACGAGTTTCACAACCAATGGAATTGCACAGGGAGAATAAAATTATCTTAGTGTCTTTCGCAGGCATGGAGTACAGGGAAAAGAGCAGAGTGGAGTCCTTTCCAAGAGCATGAGGTGACACACAATAATGTTCAAGGCCAGCCAAAAACTGCTTGTGACTGCAGTGAATGAAGGGAGCCGAACAGTGAGTTAAAGGCAGGGTATGTGATTTTTCAAAAACACTTTAGAAAACTGATTCGGGCCGAATAGCAAAACAAACTTGTAGCCAATCAGCAATAAGGGGCGTGTCTACTCTTGATGTGGTGGCGAGAGCTTTCAGTGCATGGGACGGACATTAGCCGAGCCGAGCGACAGAAAGATAGAGATGGCGGATAAAAAACAAAAGAGGAAAACGTCTGCGGAACGATAAGGCAAGAAGTAGGATCCGTGTAAATATCGGATCAGCTTTCCAGCGCTGGAGAGAACTCAAGGAGCGGAGGCCTGCGATCGGACGCCGAGGTTGCTTTGTTTCTTCTCAATGGGTGAGTAACACCGTCTCTACAACAGCTGACTTTAGCTGCCTACACTGGACGCGATCAAACGACCGTTGAAAACCATTTGAAATTTGTGTCAGCACGTCATAAATAGAACCCCGCAGCAGTTTTCTGTTGGGGATTTGTTGCGCCGCGCCGCTCACGTCCGTAGACACGGTGTAACATTGGCTTTGCTTTGTTTCACAGAACTAATCGTTGCCTGGGTTGCGTACGTATATGTGGGGCGGAGCTATCAGAATAGAGGCAAGACCCTTTTGGGGTAGGGGCGTGTTTGTTTTGGTGATTTCAAATATCAACATTGGCTACCAGAAATCACTTACTCTGCCTTTAACAATCTACATGTGTGGCTTATTAGAACCCTGGGGAGTGTGAGTGGGTGAGCGATGGAGAGAAAGAGTCCAGTGTGCTCATGACAGATACATTTAATGATAAACTATAATACTCACAGAAAATTAGCTGACTCACTTATTGCTCATCTCAAAGCTTGTATCCCACTGGACATAAACACCATTTCGCATTTCTTTGGAATGTGTTAATGACTGTCCGTTGACCACATTTTAAACTACTACAATTCAAATTCCACTGATTGCCATTTCATTTAGGAAGCCAATCACTTACTTCTGTTCCATCTTCAAACATCTCCAAATCCTCTTCAGTGACCAAACGCACATTCAGCAGTCATGTGTGCACGGCTCAGACAGTAGATGAAACACCTCTCTTCTCTGGACAGATGACCATTGTCTGGAAATCCCTTCATCAGCCAGCTCAAGAGGGGTATGCGGGTCACCAAGAAGCATAATGAAGACAATTTCCTCGTGTGTCCTTCAAAGAGAAGCAGACACATCATGAGGTATGAAACTCAGACACTAAAACACTGCACATACTGTACATATCCACTGCACAATAAAAACAGAACAGGAAATAGTTTTTGTTAGGTTGAACATGTTTTAGTGATATGAAAAGTTTGTCGTTCTCCTCCATCTGGAACAGGATGGAGAACTGTAGCTCTCGGGCATCATGCACACTGTTACTGGTAAACCTACTAGCAAGTCAACAGCTTGTTAGTTTGCTAGGATATAAACATAGCCAAACTAAAGCTAAAAAATTTGGTTGAATTATTTAATTTTTACTCACTGCGATTTGTGATCAATGACTGTCTACTCTACAATATAATGGGAGTATCTTACTTTTCTGTTGGAATAGTGTTTTGCATCTTCAAAAGGAGGAGTGATGGGTTTCTGGGAAGCATCAATTGTTCCATCACATTGAGGGAAACCACAACTACTGCTGGTGTTGTGATCAAATCAGGCGATGGATTGAAAACAGGTGTAAACGGGAATGTGTTTCCATTTAGTCCACCAAAACACATCATAATACCAGGTGTCATCTGGCCCACGCGTGCGCCTTCACCTGGGACCCTTGAGCTCAACGTATACTTTGGTTTTTACACTATGTTAAGTTATCAGTACAGTGTGAGTGACATAAATATCTTCTTCTGCATACATGTGTACTAAAAATAGAGATAATTTTACAACAAAATTCAAAATGGCTGGCTCCAAATGGTCAACCCAGGAACAATTGATATCACTATGAAAAAAAAGAAAGTATAGGAAAACAGTAACGTTACTGTAATAAACGAGGATGAATGGTTGTGATCAAATGAAGAGTGGAGCCGACAGACTGGATCCCTCATAAAACTAGGGATTGGCATTTTTAAAAAATATTGTTTTCGAATATTCGTTTATTTAAATTAGGTTTAAAGAGAAAGACAATTTTAATTAATAATCAAATTTTTTTTGTCACCATTTCTGAACACGCTTATGATTAGGCATTATACACAACAATTTTCTACAACAACATTACGCTATATCTCAAGGTTTTCTTTTAGTTGAAAACGTGTAAAAAAATACACATATATAAAGAACAAAAGCATTCAAGCTCAAGCTGAGCAAATGGAAAAATAAAGCAGACCGTGCCAATTACAGTACAGAACGTACTGAAATGTACTGAACGTGAATGCAGTGATGGACAGCTGTCCTCAGTCGACTGATGTTTGGATTTCATGTGATTTCTCATTGTGGTGGTGATATTATGATAACTCAGTTTCACCGATTCATTTGATCAAAAGTAATTCCATTTTGTAAGATCATTTTGATCAAAGTTATTCCAAACTTGGCGAGGCACTTGTTAACACACTCCACAGTGCCACCCAGTGCATTTAGCTATAACTTCTTAGGATTTATAATGGAGTCCCTGCATTTATGGCCAGCAAAGTAAAACGTAGAATTATTCGAATAGTGGTTTTATTTTTTCGAATAATAATTACAGATCAAATATTCATCTATTTGTGCACACCCCTGGATAAAACACTGAGGGCTATGATTGGTCTGTTTCCTGTTGTGTTATAAGGACCTAAGCTAAACTTTAGTTTAGTTTAGTTAGTTTAGTTTACCACTTTATTAATCCCACAGGGGCAATTATAATGAAACAACACATAACAGACTTATCTCAGACATAAAAACACATAAGCCACAGCCATATCACCCTGCAGCCCAAGACTGGTTGCCCACTGAAGCTAAGCAGAGTTGAGCCTGGTCAGTACCTGGATGGGAGACTTCCTGGCAAAACTGGGTTGCTGCTGGAAGAGGTGTTAGTGAGGCCAGAAGGGGGTGCTCACCCTGTGGTCTGTGTGGGTCCTAATGCCCCAGTATAGTGATGGGGACACTATACTGTAAAAAGCACAGTCCTAACTATAATTCTTAAGCATTTCTTACTCTTTAGAAAAAGTGAATTAAACCAACACTGAAATTAGAAACTAAAAATACTCTTTTGTTCAAAAAAGGAGTTCAGTTTCCTTAGAACATAAATCTTATGGCGCTTTTCCACTGCATGGTACGGCACGGTTCACTTTGGGGGTTTTTCCACTAGGTACAGTACCTGGTACCTGGTACTTTTTTCAGTACCACCTCGGTTGAGGTTTCAAGGAGTCTGAGAAATGTTTCTAAGCTGGGAAGTAAAGCATATGAAGAGTTTGGTTCCAAGAGACAATCGTCACAACTTGATTAATTTG